TACCATGTGTTACACCAAACACAAATCTGCACAAAACATGAATCTTTGCTACTGCCACCTTATCAAGAGCTTACACTCTTGAATCCTGAAGTCAAACACTTCCCAGCTTACTCCAAAGCTTCCACCATAAGTGTGTATTACCTTCTGTCTCTACAGAAGCTTTTCTATACCAGACTGCTTCAGATACTGCTTCAGAGCACAACAGATTCAACAATTTTCCCTGCATTACCTCTAAAACAAACAGCCTTGTAGCTTCACATTCACTGATAATCCACCAACTGTAGACTCTCATAACAACCAGAACTGACAGCTACACACACAGAAACAAATCTGCAACGAGAAACCCTTTTCAACACTCAACTAGAAAACCCACTGAAATTTCTTTGCTTCATAACCTTTCTACAACACCCTTTAAAATTGATCCAAGAGCACCTTTACTGATACTCATACAGCCATAAAACACCCCCAAAATTTAAGGTTCTAAGGTGTCCCCTAGTTCCATGAATCTTATGAGTTATCGGGCTGGAAACAAGATAACTAGAACACTACCTGCAACTAACTTTTCCAAACTGATTCAACTTGAAGATACCCTGAAAACCATCACTGAATCTTGGCAAAACCCTTGTAAAACCAGTACATAAACCTTGTGTTCCAACAAGCTTCCATTTTTAATAAATCTGCGGAACTTGAGCAAACCTGAAACTTCAATACAGAGCATCACAAACACCTTGTGACTGCAGCAGAATTAGACTTTAAGTCTCTCATAACTTGAGTCTTGAAGTTGATGTTTCAATTCTGATACAGAACCTTGAGTCACAGAACTTGTACTCAATCTTTTCAGAATCAAACCCAGCTGATACTTGTAACCTTCAGCTAACACCAACAAATAACCGACTTCTTCGGCATTGATATAGAACACCATCTTCGATCAAATGCTTCTTGCTTCATCTCTGAACTTTTCCAAACTTCTGCTTGCAACACTTCAACTTGTGAGTAATCTAAAATCCTTCTCACTATGTTGCAGATTCTTGTATCATGGAGGCAACCTGATTTCATAAACTTGAAATCACCTCACTTGATTCAGACTTCTACCATGAATCCTTGATACAACTTGTTCACATCTCTCTTTCACACTAAGTTACAGACCATAACCAGAGCTAAACACGTTTTCAACTACTTAAGCATCTCAAGAACCCTCTGTTACTCCACCTAAGATCTAGCTAGATCTTTCATGTAACAAAACAAGATCTTACCAAACTGTCTGCACTTGTCTCAGAAAACTGCTTCAGAGATTGAGACTTCTTCAAAACCTTTTGTTTTCTTCAGTCTTGTTGTTCTTGAGTCAGATGTTTCAATATTAACCTGAATGAGTCTTACAACTCCTTTCTTTCACATGCTATACACCAAGAGATAACTTGAAATAGTCTTGTCTCCACAACCTTCCTCAACATCTGAGAAACACAATGATGCTCCACCAAGAAAGAGTCTTTTGACTTTTCCTCTCTTCTGCACCATTTACCAAGAGCTTCAGGTTTGTTCTTCATGTTTCTTGTCTCTCCACAACCAACCAAGCTCTTCAAAGAAAAGGACCATGGATGCTTAAGGAAAGAGCCTTACTGCTCTAACCTTCCAAAGATCCAACCTTTTTTTTTCACTAT